CAGCTCCAAGGTCAAGGTCACAAATCAAGGTCAACTCTTACAGCAATACCTTTTTTCTTGTTCTACCTGAAGCATCTGATCTGCTTAAGATAACTTTACAAATCTTTATACACATGCATCATCACTAGAGAAATGCCATACACTTCTCATCCCCCAGCTCTAAGGTCAAAGTCACAAATCAAGGTCAACTCTTGCAGCAATATTTTTATTTCTTGTTCCACCTGTAGCGTCTGATCCACTCGAGATGATTTAACAAAACTTTATACACATATTCGTCATTACTGGAGTCACATACACTTTTCATTCCCCAGCTCCAAGGTCAAGGTCACAAATCAAGGTAAACTCAGCAAGACCTTTTTTTTCTTGTTCTACCTGTAGCCTCTGATGTGCTCAAGATAATTTAACGAAACTTTATACACATATGCTTCATCACTAGAAAAAGGTCACATACACTTTTCATCCCCCAGCTCCAAGGTCACAAATCAAGGTCAAATATTACAGCAAGATCTTTGCTTATCCCGCCCATAGCATCTGATCTGCTGAAGACAATTTAATGAAACTTGACACATTTGTACCACAACTAGACCACATGTCCCATAATCATCACAGCTCCAAGGTCATAAATCAAGGTCAAATGTTATACAGGGTCGTTCTTTGCTTGTCCAGACCGTTGCTGTACATCGTTTGTCGACGGGCGTATAATGTGCCATGCGCTGTACTTTTGTTACAAGGTTTTATTTTCATCTTAACGCAGAATGGTAATTTGTGTCTCCCCTCGTTTAGGTCCCCACCGATGTTTCCATGGGTCTGCTGGCCGAGCCGCAGGTGGCCATGTTTTGTGGTAAACTCAACATGCACATCAACGTGCAGAGCGGCAAGTGGGAGCCCGACCCCTTGGGCACGAAGAGCTGCATCGGCACCAAAGAGGGCATCCTGCAGTACTGCCAGGAGGTAAAGTATTCTGACCCAGTGGCGGTTAGAACTTTTTACCGTACTTGCCGCCGCATTTCACCCGGGCGGTGCGGCTGATTTGACGTTTGCTCCAGAGCGAGACGAAGGTGGCTCGGTATGCAAGTGTTTTAAGTGATGACGCAGTCCAGAAATGTCCAACAGCCGTCCTAAACTAAGAATTGGTAAAAGCAACTATAGTGCTCGGCCTTCGCAGTGGTTCTCAACTCTGGTCCCTGAGGAACACCATCCTGCATGTCCAACAATTTTCAGTCAGGTCATCTGGACTGTTTTTTTTTTTCTGAAACGTTTCACCTTCCATCCGGAAGGCTTCCATCAGTCAAGGAAAAGCACAACACAAAGCTGATTCTTCCCCCAAACAGCTTACTCCAAAGTGGAACAAACCAGTTATGTTGGTGCTAAGATGGTGACCTGACTGAAAATTGTTGGATTGTATACATGGATTATTGAGCATGGACTTTTTTTGGTCTTGAACAAGTTTGACATGACTGTCGACAAGGAAGGGGGCCAGCACGAGAGGAGGGGGCATGCCAAAGACACCATCTTAGCACCAACATAACTGGTTTGTTCCACTTTGGAGTAAGCTGTTTGGGGGAAGAATCAGTTTTGCGTTGTGCGTTTCCTTGACTGATGAAGCCTTTTGGATGGAAGGTGAAACGTTTCAGCAAAAAAAGAAACTGTCCAGATGACCTGACTGAAAATTGTTGGATTGTATACCTGGATTATTGCGCAAGGCCTTTTTTTTTTTTTTTTGACCATCCATGTTTTAGTCGTTCCTCTCCTCCAACACGCCTGATTTGAATGAAAGGGTGATTCGGCTTCTGCTGAACGTAAGGAAGTAATTAAAGCACTGAACCAGGCGTGTTGGAGCAGAGGAACAACTAAAACATGAAGGATGGGAACCACTGAGCTAACGACATTGTAGTAACTTGATAAATGCTAACTTTAAAAATGTTTTAATTACTTTTAGTTTCACCTTCTAGGAACTCTCGGGACAGGAAGTGTTTCACCCTTTTTATCCATCCGGTCCAACGTCTGACTCATTGCGTCGTTTGTTTTTTTGTCACTGAACGTTAACGCCAGCCCAACACTGATCACAACCAACCGGGGCGACCCATCTGAAAAAAAATCCACCCATTTCTATCCCAAAAATTACCCAGCATGCAGTGCGACTCGCACGATCTTTTACGTTTAAGTTCAACGTGTAATTTGGACTAAAAATGAACAAACTTCCAGAACTTACCGTTTCTGTCAAATTTAATCTTGTAATGAAACGAAAATACGACTTTAATATTGATCCTTATCAACGTAAATGTACAAATTTTTTTCTTTTTAAATTTAGTGGGCGCAACTTATTTTCAGGTGCGCTCAATTGCCCAGAAATTACGGTAATTAAACACTCATCCTGCAGAGACTGAGCTCAGCCTTCTCTCCTGACAGGGAAGTCCTGACCAATGAGGAAGAACCTTCAAACAGGTTTCTGCCTGGAGACAAAAATTAAAAAGAATCTGATTGGATCATGAATTAAAAGTAAAAAAAAAATAGTTAACAGTAGTTTAGTTTGCTTATACACCGAAGCGACAAATTTATGGATTTTTTTCCATATTTAAAAAACAATTTTTGGCTGAGATGTGACTATTTTCATTCATTCTGACTGAAAATAATGAACACTACCATTTTCAGCCACTAGGTGGCACTCTAGTAGTATGGCATGCTGTTGTGTCATGTAAAAGTGGCTATTAATGACAAATTCAAAAAAGCTCAAGTGGACAACTGGACTTTTATTTATTATACTTTATATTTTATTGTTTTTGTCTTGGAACTTTTTTTGAATTTTTCATGTCCTGGATGACTGAGAATCTTCACCAGCTATTAATGATACAATCGGCTTGCCGTAGTCTTCCACCTTCGTTCTGCTTGGAGCAACCGTCGAACCAGCTTCGATTTGCTGCACCGTCTCGGCGAAATGCAGCTAATTTGACCATTAAAGTGCATTTATTAAGTAAATGTTCAACTGAGACGCACCTTTGGTATAATTTTGAGTAAACAAATAATTGTTTTTATACTCCTTCGGCCGCCAATTGATTTTTGGCACAACAGCGCCCCACGTTTCCAGGTTGTCAGCGGTGGCGCATAATAGATGTGACTTATATGGCAAAGCGACGTGTACGGTGGAAAATACGGTAAATAAAAACAGGAAAAACTGTTTTTTAATGAATAGAAATTGAATAAAAATGTAAACGTAGCTGTTCTTTGGTCTTCTGAAGGGAAAAGTACTGAAGCCTGTGAAGCTCACAGAATGACACCAACAGTGACCTCAGCGTCACGAGTCACAAGTTTTTCGTGAACCGCTGGTTCAAACGCTCACCGAAGCCGTGCGTTCTGCTGAAACAGACGCTCCGTTTCACGGATTAGTCGTTGTTTGACGTAGCCGGGTCAGAAAGTTTTGAAGCGATCAGATTGGACCGGTGTCGCCGGTTCTGACTAATAAAACACAAGTTTTTAATTTCAGAGCCATCTGTACGTCTTTTATGGCTTCAGGTGTATCCGGAGCTCCAGATCACCAACGTGGTGGAAGCCAATCAGCCGGTCAGCATCCAGAACTGGTGCAAGAAGGGGCGCAAGCAGTGTCGCAGTCACGTGCACATAGTGGTGCCCTACCGCTGCCTGGGTGAGCCCAACACACGCACTCGCCGTTTCCACTTTAAAAGCCGTTCGAGTCGATAATCTGGTTTTCGTTGCTTCCGCAGTGGGAGAGTTCGTGAGCGACGCCCTGCTCGTTCCCGACAAGTGCAAGTTCCTCCACCAGGAGCGCATGGACCAGTGTGAGAGCCACCTGCACTGGCACACTGTGGCCAAAGAGGTGAAGACGCGCGTCTTGGTGATGTACGGTGCGGACTTCTGCCGCAAGATTTCACAGAAATACGCGTTTTTTTTTTTATCGGACGCCCGTCGAAGGACGGGACGTATCGTGGTGAAGTCGCAAACTGTCTCGAGTCTCAAGATGATTTAATGACACTTGATACACGTAGACATCAGTGGACTGTGTTGTATAATCTCATCATCC